TGGTCTGACGGAGGATTCTAGCTGTTCTACAGTCCTAGATCTTCTTCGCTGGATTTTTTTGTTGGATATGAGCAGATGTTCTTCTAAAAGCTGTGTCTAATTTTCTACTTTAATGGAGTCTTTCCAGATGTGCAAGCTGCCCCTGTCAGAGGAAGTAATGCAGCATTTGTGGATGAACTGTGTGACAATGATCTGGAGAAGTGTTCCTGAGTCCAGAACAGAACCAGACCTGGTTTAAATGCAGTGGCCCCTGAGGGCCCGAAGATCACGACCATCCAGTGTTGACCTTCAGCCTCGTCCTTTGAGCTCAGAGGTTTCTACAGATTCTTCTAATCTGATGATGGCGGGAGATTCAAAGCCTTCATCATTTTTAGTTGAGGAACATTTTTCTAAAGTTCTGATGTCCACCATGCTCCATAAGGAATTAAATATGGATTTTAAGATTTAAAAATGACTGCGTTCAGTTCATACTTCACATTTTACACAACGTAGAACTGCAGTTTTACAGAAAGGTGCAAAAACCGCTGCTGCACTTACATTTGAGAAGATTGTTTCTTTTTTCAGTGGAACTCATCTCCTGAGGCAAGTCTGAAACTTCTGCAACACGAAAATACATTCAGTGTTTGCTGTAAAACGCATTCAGAGATAAACAAAAAAACTGTCTACAATTTTGTTGAAGCCACAACAGCGGTCAAAATACACATTTTTAATGTTTTTGATTAAATTTGTTTTACAAGTGTAACATCTTAAAAAAATAAAAAAACAATATGTGGAAGTTTGCTTCTAAAAGTCACTGTTTTGTAATAAATGAGAATAATCAGCAGTCTGGTTTTGTTGGCAACAATTACAAGACGTTTGTTTACATTCAAACATTAACAGTTAAAGATAAAACTGGGTTTTTATTACTTTAACCCCCCAAAGGTCATTTAATGTAGAAATCATTGAAGAAACATGAAAATTCTAATGAAAAGTCACGTATTATGACAGCTATTATGGCTTTAAGGAATAAAAAAACAAGAACTTGGACGAGCTAAGGTAAATGTGTGGATCTGGTTTCCACCTGGATCCTCTTTGGGTTCTGCTGCAGCAGGACGTCCTCTGGGTTGGGGTTTCCGTTCAAACTCCAACAGGTTATCCAGGGATTTGTTAAACTTCTTATTTCCAAAGTTTTCAGTGTACTGGGGAGGATTTTTGGTGTTTTCTAAAGGAAATAATAAAATGAAAAAAAAAAAACCCAACAGTTTGCAAACTATAGTTAAAACACAAACATTAAATCCTAACGTCATTATTAACAACAAACTACAGAAAATGTCTTTCCTGCAAAAATGCAGTGTGAATGCTTTTTGCAGAAGAACTTGATGAAAAACAGCAGAAATTAGCTGAAATGGAAGAACAAGCCTAATTTACCAGAAGAACGTAGAAAGAACACATATTTGCTGAATTAGGTTTAAATATGCAGAAATGAGCATAAAAATCTAAAAAGTATCTGAAAAGGCAGAAAGAAGCAGAAAGAGCTGAAATGAGCTAAAAAAAAGTGGAATTAGCTAAAAAAAGAATAACATAAAACAGCTAAATATGGTAGTAGCTGAAATAACTGAAACTAGCAGAAATAGGCTGAAAGTAGCAGAAGTTACCACAAAACTTGAATTTATCAGAAAACAGCTGAAATTAGATAAAAAAAATTGCTAATAGTTAGCTGAAAAAGTAGGACAAGCTTAAATTAGCATAAAAAGCAGAACAAACACATTAGTCTTAAAGAAGCAGAAATGAGCACAAAGAATTGGAAATTACCTGAAAAAGGCAGAAATTTGCCAAAAACAGCTCAACGTAGCTAAACATGCAGAAATAAGATTAAATTACCAGAATGAAGTGGAGAGAATACATTTTAGCTAAATTAGGCTGAAAAATGAAACAAACAAAAAAAATAGTGCAAATAATGAGGAATTTGCTGAAAATTTTTTTAAAATAAACACAAAAACAACTAAATAGTAGCTGAAAAGGCAGAAACTTGCAGAAATAAGCTGAAAGAAGCATAAACTGAAATTAGCAGAAAAAAGTTAGAAGAACCACAAAACTGTTGTAGTTGGCAGAAAATATCTGAAAGGAGCTGAACAGCTGAAAAAAAAATAGCTGAAACTAGCTGAAAGTAGCTGAAAAAAGTTTAAATTCGCAGTAGGAAGCTGAAAGAAGCTGAAGCAGAGCAAACTGTGAAAGGAGCAGTAAAAGGTTGAACACACATCTAAAGATATGAAGGATGGAAAATGAGCTCAATTCATTTTCTATGAGAAAAAAAAATGGAGAAAAAGGCTAAATATTTCAAAAAGCTAAAGTTGCACCAATACCAAAAGCTAAAGCACCCTTCTCCTGAACGAGCTGAACGCTTTGATTTATGATCTGTTGAAATGGCACAAAAACTGTGGAACGAGAAAGATGCAGAAAAACACACATCACAACAGAGTGAATGCTTCATAAACATTCACACAAAAATAAATTACTGAGGTGACTTTTTTGATACTTGGAATTGCTTTAAGATAGTAAAATTTACTTTGGAAGTGGCTCTGCTCCAAGTAGCCATAATTAGGTTCTCAGTCTGAGAGGACCCCGTTTTTTTTTTTTTTTTGCTGTTTAAACAACTCAAATTTGTCAAATTTCATAATAGTTTAGGCAAAAAATTATCATTACCCAAGGCTGAACAATAATGTTTTTGCCCGTGTCTGTGTGTTAGCAAAATATCCCAAGAACCAGTTGATGAATTTAATGAAACTCTTTGAGCAATCATCAGAAGTTAATATCTACCTTTGGAGTCAATCCAATTCAAGATGGCTGCCACAGCCAACACAAGTCAAATAAAAATGGCTACGGTTCAGTCGCTTTTACAGATAATGAGCTAAACTTTAGCGTGGTAGTAGCCGAGTCCCAAATTGCCAACAATCAGATTAAAAACGAAAACATTTGCCGCCAAACCAGCTCTGTTCGGCAGCGTGGGACAGAAACCTGATGTTCTTACTCTGCGGTTTCTTCTTCTGGCCCGCTGCGGGTCCAGGTCCTGGACTGTGGGACCTGGGGAATCTCGGAGGAGCCTGAGGAAACTTTGACTCTGAAAAAACACAAAAAGAACTGAAGTTTTTTTTAAAGTTCCTTATCTTCTGCATGTGAAGCCCGTGTTTGACAGACCTGGCTCTGGATAGTTCCCGGGACTCGTCGGCATGTACCCGGAGGCCGACGCTGCTCGTTCACCTGAAAACGAGACCGAAGTTTAGTTCATCTTTTCACCAACGTAAATTTAAACATCTCAAATCCCCGCGGCTTCAAATCAGAACACCGGTTCAAACATGGCTTTTTGATTTGGATTTCTGCTTCCACCACTCCCCAAAGCAAACCACTCACCCGCTGCTAAAGTGACTGAATGACTTTCTGCAATAAAATCGAACATTGATTTTTAAACGACTTTCTCGGTGCATCGACAGACGTCGTCTCTACTGGTCCGTGTGTTTGCGGTTGTCACCTCTGAGGAGTATCGGTGTTCTGTTCTCGACGGGCTGCTTCAGGAGCTGCAGCAGGAAGTTCTTCGTGGACGCAGCAAACGCCTCTGACTGCATCACCTTCTTAGAGTCCAGGTTGATCCGAGGGGTGTAGGGGTCAAAGTTCACGGCTTGGGGGAGGTAAAATGAAGCCTGGCAGGAGGAAAAACTGTTTTATTATTGCAAAATTATGACATTCAAATTAAAATGCATTCAGTAAATCACGTCTTCTTCGCTGCAGTTTCATCTCATTTATGCACTTTTGTTTGGGCAGAAATGATTAATTATTTAAACTAATTTTCATCCAATGTTTGCACGCAAATAAAAATCTTAAATGCAGTCATTCTGTATGAATTGATGCCGTTTTCTTCCTATTTTTGAATATTTTTCTCATAGAGAAAATGGCAATGTGTTCAACATAACGGTACTTCTCCCAGCTATTTAAATGCCAACAATGGTGTACCACAAGGCTCCGTCTTAGGACTCACTAGGGCTGGACAATAAGTCGATACAGATATACTTTTATCCAATAACGGTGATATGAGTTTTAAGCACATTTTCGATATTTCAATAGGATTACAGCGTTTCACTGACGCGTTTCTTTTGCTGTTCGGGTTGAAGCGGCCGCTGCAGTTTCAGCCCGAACAGAAAAAGCTGCGGCACAACTATGTAAGTGCGCGGTGACGTAGATGTTACGCAGCAAACGTCTGCGTGGGCTAGGTTATGTTGTTGTTTAAAGTTAAAACTATTAATATTGACAACAAGTTGTGAATTTTATTTTATGGTGATTTCAAAAATTTTTGAAGGCTAAATACAAATAAAAGCTGAACGTTAATTTGTACAGTTTTTCTGCTTTTATATTGTTTATATCGATATCGAATTATATCGTTATGACCAAAATTAAGAAATATATCGTGATAAAAGTTTTGGCCTTGTCGTCCAGCCCTAGGACCTACCCTCTTCAAATCTACATAAAACATGTAGATCGGAGCATCCCTGGTGCATCCTTACATTTCTACGCCAACAACACAGTGGTTTATTGCCGAGCTAGAACAGCTGCTAAAGTTTTCCAGTGTGCATTCGACATCACCCAGTCAGATTTGTTCCGTCTCAAACTGGTGCTAAATGCTGATAAAACCAAAAGGATGTTGTTTTCAAACAGGGAGTTGATATTAATAACCGTTAAATGTATTTATTGAACACTCGTGCAGTGATTTTGAACACATTCTTAAATAGTTTGTGCATCGTGAAGAAGACACCTGGCTGTTTTGACGGTTCTGTTTGGATCATGTGGAAAGGATCATAAGTCTGATGAAGAGGCGTCCCACCTGTAAGAAGGCCTGGGTTTGGGACTGGCTCAGCAGCTGATGGATCTCCTCTTTAGCTTTGCTCATCTTGTCAACGTTCTCGACAAACTTCGCCATGAGCCCTCTGATTTTGGTCTGCCCGATCTCGGCCTCCCGGTCGATAGACTTCAGAGCTTCTTGCTCCTCTCGGGCAAACATGTCCTGTATGTACTGGTACTCCGCCGACACGGCTTTCTTCCTGTTGATGGCTGAATCCTGGTGACGACAAACTCGAGACTTGATTCTAAACGAACAGCATGCATCATTTATTTCAGTTCTTCAACCCCCCCTCAGATACGAACCTTTAGCCTTTTCTCAGAGTCCTTCATCAGACAAAGAACAGTCTCGTTCTTTGACATTTTTCCATCCAAAAAACTCAACTTGTCTCTCAGGTCAGACTGTAAACAGAAAAAAAACCACATTTAATTAGAAATAAAGGTCCAGTTTGTAGAGTCACTTCTGACAAGTAGAACAGGGAATTAATGTAAACCTTAACGTTTTTGATGGAAGACATCCAAGTGGATAGAAGAACAGGGGTTGTTTTTTTTTTGCTTGTAGCGCTGTGACAGATTGTGGCGAAAGGAGGGAGCAATTTTATCCATGAGGGGGTATAATGGAGGCCTTGGCTACCACAGATTAATCTTCGGGCACCCCAGTCGTTTGAATAAACTATAAATTCAAGCACTATAAAAAATTTAAAAAAATCTCCATACCTGCAAACTCAAGGGATGAAAAAGAGGACAAATCTAGTGCCCATAGTGATGTTGGTGTGAGGGGAGGGGGTTCCCTGTCTCCCCCCCCACCCTTGGAAGATTTTTTTTATTTTTAACAGGGAAATTAAGCATTTGGATATAATCCAAGAAGAAAATTAAGGGAAAACACAACATGCTTCAGGTAAAAAAGACATTTACTAACATCCTAATAAGTTCTTATGGCTCGTCAACCAAAAAAATAAAAAACAAACAAGCAGCAACAGCAGCAATCCAACCAGAGCAAACCAACAAAGTCCATGCTCAATAATCCAGGTATACAATCCAACAATTATTCAGTCAGGTCATCTGGACAGTTTCTTTTTTTTTTGTGCTGAAACGTTTCACCTTCCATCCAGAAGGCTTCATCAGTCAAGGAAACAACACAAAACTGATTCTTCCCCTAACAGCTTACTCCAAAGTGGAACAAACCAGTTATGTTGGTGCTAAGATGGTCTCTTTGGCACGCCCCCTCCTCTGGTACCGGCCCTCTCCCTCGTCGACAGTCATGTCAAACTGGTTCAAAACCA